AGCTGCCAGGCGATCGACCTTGTCTTTCGTCTGTCGGCTCTCGTCACTCCATTCCCTTCTCATGGAACTCACCTGATTCAGTACCCTGATTTGGTCAGCAAAGATATGGAACGCCTTCGCGACTGGGCCAGAAACCTCACCCCTTTCGAGCATCTCCTGGATGTGCAACTCGAACATCTCCTTTGCCCTGACGTCACCTGATTCGCCAGAAGACTGAGATCTGAGGGCGGGAGGAGTCGATATCTCGATCCTCTCAGGAGCCCTACTAGCCCCGGCATGCCTTCTTGGGTCATCTACGGGACAATCATCCGTCCTGGATGGCCTACTCGGGGTGGATCCCCTTCTCCGGCTATCGCCAGATCGGGGATCAATGTTGGATGCACGTGACTCGGGGGTGGAGTGAATGTGAACATCAGCAGGATCAGGCATCTCCTCATCCTGCGGAGTTGAATCCATTGGTGAGGGGCTAGCCCTCCTCGCCTTTGACCTATCGGTCTCAATGGCCAGGGGTGACGGTCTCTTCGCAGAAGCACTACGTTCCCTGGCGGTCGAGCCCCACTGAGGTGTGAACTCGTTGCTAGACCTAAGTGTTTCAAGGTCACTAGTATCTCGCCCTAACGGGCTAGCGCTCGACGGATGATCCTCGATTCCGAGTGCATCGGCAAGCCGGCCATCTCTTGCACCTCTCCCAACGACATCGGCAACCCGCTCAGTGATCCTCGGCGAACCAGTAACCCGGTTCGAGTTCACGTCTCTCTGATCCAACGGACCTCCAAAAGTAATGTTGGGAAAAGGGGGAACATTCGGGGTATCACCGATCGCCGGGGGACCTACCGGTCCCTCACGGTCATGGATAGCCTCCAATCCCCGAAGAACTTCCCGACTGTCCCTGGCTCTCTCTCTCTCGCTTCGGGCGTCCCTGTCAACACGAAGGTCCCTGGCGGCTCCACGAGAGAGGCTCCTGGGCCTCGCAGCATCACGGATCCTAGCATTTCGTCGTGATTGGTGCTCCTCCTCATCACGGCGATCCGCAAATGCGGCATACTCGTCATCATCATTTACCTCAAACTTGGCAGCGGCAGGACTAGTCCTTGCAGCCGCACGGTTGCCTGCACCTCGGCGCGAATGGCTCTCCTCCTCATCCGCAAAATTGTAATCTCCGTCATCATAAGACTCAGATTTGGCAGTAATAGGGTTGGGCCTACCGGCATCAGATCCCTGCTTTGAGCTACTGCCCCATCCTGCGGTCGATTTCAACAGATCATCGTATCCGAAGTCTGAGAACTTCCGCTCCTCGTGCTCATCAAACTGACCTGGATTCTGAGAACCAGTGGATCGGCCCGGGATACCTCCCGGAGCCAGAACCATAGTCCCTGGTCCCTGCGGCCTATTCTCAAACTCATCCGAGACCTGCGACTCACCTGGAACAAGAGATCTCGGAGGTCGAATCGGCATGGCCTCCGGGTCATCCGAATGAGGGCGGGCCATGTCCATCGCCATGCTGATGAAGTCAAAACGTCCACGCCTGTGACCTGATTCAGAGCCACTCCTATCGGAGTAAACCCTTCGTGTCTGCTCGTCATCAGTGGCCTGGCGGAAAATACGATCGTCTCCATCGTCGGCGTACCTGCCACGGCTCCTGGGTGTATCCCTACCGGGATCTTCACCCCTGCGGTCCTGACCTGTTGAACCTGCTTCGAAATCCTCGTAGTCATAGTCCGGTAGGTCCTCACCTGAGCGGAGGCCACCTAGGATGGCCTCCTCATCCACGACGCTCCTTCGAGATCGTGGGGTCGACATAGAGCTTGTAGTTGATGGTCTCAAGCGCGTAGGAAAGTCCTACGGCTGATAACCTGTGATTCGGGCACGAGCCTGTGCCCAGGCAATGGGTAAGTTGGGGTAAACAAGCCACAAAAGAAAGGTTCCCCAAAACAAACCAATCCCCGGTCCCAAAGATCAGGGTTTCCCACACACCAGAGAACAACAACCAAAGGAAAACAAACCAAACAAGAAAAGGGTTAACCCGCAACCTTGATCGACAACAGGCCGCACGACTGGTCCCTACCAACCTGGCGGCGGCCCGAGGTCTCTTTCTCCCCCGAGATGCCGTCGGTCGACGCAGGGGTTCGGCGACGCCCATTCGAGGCGCGACGGAACCCAAAATCTTGAGCCAAAACACCACAGGTCGGTCACTAACGCGACGTCCCTGATGATGATATGAACCATGGCTAATCACAGATTGCAAGAAAATACCAGCGCTGGCTTTGTTCCGCCAAAGCAAAGGTTGGCAACTTGGCGGCTTTCACCGTCGATGGCTCACATAAAAAAAGCAGCTTCAGCAATCACTTGAGTTGTTTTTCAACTCGCAGCTCACTGGATTCTGCTGATTCAACCGGCAAAGCGCGAATCATTTTCAGGATCCGCGCCCATGTTTTCCCATTCCCAGCTGATGTTGCCAGCTCCATGTGACTCGCGGCTCGATGTCTCGATGGCAGTCACTTCACTCCTTAGACTCACTTAAAATTATCTCTTTGCCGAAGGTCAAGTCTAAGCCCCCCTTGTTTTCGATTGTATCCCCACTGTTTCGGGACATCCAAGGAATACTAGCCGCCCCTTTTCAATCCAAGCTTCATGTTTGGGGAGAAAACATTGGAAACAGCGACCCATTGGCCATATCGATCCCCTTGATGTTTGGGGAGAAGAGGGGAAGTATAGCTACCCATATCCCAAAGCCTTGGGTCTGAAGTAGCTACCCAGTGAAGCCCATGGGTCAAAAGTCCGGTTACCCCCCAGTGAACATCCCAATCCCCACTAAAACAGGTTCTAAAAAGGGTGGCGAATTCACCTACCAACCAAAATGGGATCCCATTGGTTTTGACCCAACCCTTGCTTCTGGCGCTATCTGGAGTCTCCATGACCCTTGAAAAATGGGGTCATTACCCAGAGTAAGGAGCCATGTTTCAAGGGACTAGGTACCCATAGCCTTGGAGTTCCATGTGTTTTGGTGCCAACACCCCGTGGAACGTCGCCGCCTCGCCTTGGGCCAAGGAGGTCTCGAAGGCGCCGCGGATCTTCGGCTCGTCGAACCTCAGCCGCACTCCGTATGGGTGTGTCTCCCTCAAAATGTGCGTCAATGGTTTGCGTTTCCCCCAAGAAAGCTACCCGCAAAAGAAACGAAACACATAACGAAGCTCAACCCTCGAACCACCCATTAAAAACCTGGAATCCACCCCATAGGTTTGGGGTGAGAACCCCTTTTTGGAAGTGTTGAGGGTCCAGGAAGCCACATACGCCATTTGAATGGTGAGCTTCGGGTCCAGGAGGCCGTGCAACATGTTTCCCCGCCTGGAGCCCTTCTCCCCAAGGCATTGCGGCATAAGCCTTCACCCAACAGTTCTTCATTTCAGGCCCCCCCCCCCTGGCGGTTCAGTTCAGAAAAACCTGCCAGAAACATCTGGATCCCGCCGGTGCCTCGGGGCCGCGCTCGCCATGAGCATTGATTTCAAAGGAAAGCCCCCAGAGGTGGACTCGGAGAAAAGCGAGGGGTGCAGACCCCCTAAGAGGTTGCATTCCTTCTGGCTACCCTTCAAAGCCCACACAAAGAAAGGGTTGATAGGTCTTACCAAAGCTCCGACGTATTGGTGTTTTGCGTTTGGGCAAAAAACAGAGTTCCGCTCTTTTGCGGTACTTGACTTCAAAAAGCAGCCCCCTCCCGAACAAAGCGCATTTTTGGTACTTGACCTTGAAGGGCCCCCCCCTCCAAAACAAAACTGACCAATTTGATTTGCAAGGATCAGCCCCTCCCACTCCAAAACAAACATGACAAAGTTGGGCAAACAAAGCAACTGCGCGTCTTTTTGGTACCTGACTTCAAAGGGCCCCCCTGGCAAGGATAACCTGAGCACCCAGAAGCCCAGCGGCTTCTGGGGGTCGGTGCCCCACTTGTTGGTACCCACGCCGATGGGTTGGAAGGACAGGCCGCCGCAGCTCATCGCCATTGGATCTCGACGCTTGGAATGAACGCTTGCACGCTGGAGAAACCGAAGGACTAAGGCCCTTGGACAAGGTGAAGCAAAAAATAAACTAAGCAGAAATGAGGGCGGCCTAGCTTGAGGTTTAGGCTGACAGGCAGTTGAGCTGGTGGTGTGTGTCACTTTGGTTTGAACTCGGGCTGGCAATTTACGACTTGGAGCCGGCGTTGTTCTTTGTGATGCAGCGAGCCAGAAAGTTGCGCGACGGTCTGAGACCAAGATGACCTGTAAGGTTGCGACTCATCACCTTGGGGCCAATTTGCAATGACTTCTTTTTTTTGGGTCCACACCCTGTGGACCCCAGGCAAGCCCATATGGTAGGTAACCCTTCGCTATTTTCCCTTTCTCACTTCCTGGATGGAGTGGCCAGAAAAAATATGTTTCTTGTTGACCACCAAAATGGTCTTCCCAAAAAGTAAGGAACTCAGGGAGTAAGCTTTCCGAAACAGGTACATCGATCCACTGGCTAGGGTTTTCCGGTGGGAACCCCAGATGAATGAACCCCAGTTTATTCATAGGAGGCGTTTTGTTGGGTTTAGTGGACATTCAGACCACTTTTGGAGATTTGGCCACCCCCCTGCTAACAGGCAGTTTATTCATCCTGTGTCTATTTATTAGGGAAGAAACCTCTCCGACCCCGACTGGCCCGCGCGAACAAAAACACCCCGCCCGACCGGCAACATCCAAAACGGAACATAGGAAGGTGACAACTAATGCCCAAACTGCTTCCGGAAGTTGTTGGTCCGGGACCAGGTTTCAAATCCTGTAACGCAATTAATCCGGGAGAAAGTTCAATCCTCTTCGTCGACCCTCCTCGACCTTCCGCTTCGGTTGAGTTTTTAGGCTTGTAGAGTTTCGTGGGGAGTTTCCATTGAACCGCGGGAAAAAACAAAACAAAAAAACAACACCCCGCCCGAGACCTCCTCGAAAAAAACACCCGAGCAAACCCAGCGCTTTGGGGCTCCGGGCGTCGATCTCCCCCAAGGTCTCCTTGGTCACCGCCCCGCCGCCCAGGTGGGAGCCCTTCTCCTGCTTCCCCTGCGCGTTTCTCACCGAAGTGGCCCCCTGCAAGACTCGAAGCTTTTGAGTGGGCTGGGCAAAAAGGGTCTGGAACTCGATTATTTTTGGGGCTGGGCTGGGCAAAAATCGTCTGGACACGTGTTTGCTAAAATGGGGCCCAACCACCAAGCAACTCCTTAGCAAGTCCAGGAGCTCGGGTTTTGGGAGTACAGGACAATCAAAGAACACCTGGAATGCAAAGAAAACCCTTGAACAGTCCCTGAACAAATGGTCCTGTCCCACAAACAGAAAACTAGAATATGTTGATTTCTTCAAGGACCTCTTGGATATGTAGCATACGACAAATGCGCTGGGTGTGTGCATGCAAACAATATATATATATATACGTATATATGTATATATGTACGAATATCAGGTTTTGCCGGGGTATCTCCTGGCTTGCCCAGAATATTAATATCAACATACACATATCAATATTCTGCATCTGGTACCTATGGATGCCAACTCAACATTGCAAGTACACCAAGGGGAAGCAAACAACGCAAACAATGCCCATGCAAAGTACAGGGCTGTTGTGGCGGATCAGTGGATGGCGCATGCCCTCATCCATGTTGATTCGGTCGAGGTTAAATTCAATGGATGCCAACTCAAACCAAAGGGAACGAGGGAAACACAAACTCACTTGCCCAAAGGACCTGGAAATAAAACCGCGATCACCTTTTGGCACCTTGATTAAACATGGGCCAAAAGGGGAGAAAGCCCGATCAAACGGTCAATCGGTACGCTGACAACTGAGCAAACGAGCGCAAGTTACAAGGGTTTTGCGGAAGCTTTGGTGATGTCCCCAAGTTCTACGAATCCAAAGGCTCATTGCGAAAGGCTGGCGTGTGAGGGAACCCCCACACAAGGAACAAAGAACAGTGCAAAGGATCAACTTCCTTGACCCACAATGGAATTCCACTCGAACAAACACCCAAGAGATAGCAACCCACATGTCTAAGCAGTGGTTGTTACACGTACTGTGGATCGACGACATCGTACACCACTTTGAAACCATGGATAAAAACCAGTGTTTGCTAGTATTTACAGGGGAAGCAGTAGTTTCCAGGGAATCGAATCATTCCAAAGTTTCTGAACGGTGGTGCGCGTCATGGATTTCGCAACCATCCACAGTACCATCCATCGAGATGCAGCTAGAAAACAGCTAAAGAAGTCCCCGGGCGCTGGTGACAAGGCCCCTTGTCCTTTTCGCCCCCTGGAAACAATAATCATATTCCCGGTTGTGAAATCGATTCCCTTTAAAACCAACGGAAAATATATCAAACATATTCATTTCAGCAAACGGAAGAAACCATGGGTATGAACCATATTTTACCAAAACCATGTCTACACCAGCTTTAAGCAACCCTTTTGGGAGCCCAACATCAACATAGTTTCAGCCAATGGAAGGTTTGGCCACGCCTGCCCTTGGCCATCCATGATGCAAGCATGCCGCAGCGTGTTGAGTGAGTGCTCCGTGTCCTGCATAAGCCATGCCGAAGGCAGAGACGAGTGGGCTTACCTTGGCTTCTTGACAGGGGCGGCTTGCTTTCCCGGTGAGAAAACCGACTGAAACAACAAATTTAAAGGATATCTGTAACCAGAAAACCGACTGAAACCGACTGAAACGAGAAAACTACATCGGCAACCGGGATCCACTGGGTTTGTAAAACCAGGGGAACCCCCAGAGCAATTCCACAGACTGGCGTTGAGTTTCAAGGAAGGACGCAGCACATGGTCGCATGCAACAAAGGCCAAGTCCCAACTAGGCACCATGGTTTTTGTAAAGGCAAAGTGTAACATCTGGGGGGGGTCAAAAGGTCCTTGGTCCTTTCCATGTGATGACCATTGCTTGGAAAACCACTAAGATGATATCTTCACCATGTTCACCCATGGAAGCAAAAACAAAAACGTTGCTCATGGCCCGTGGTCAGAACTGGGGGGCCCCCATCTGCCGGGCCAGGCCAGGCCGGAGCCGCTTCCCCGAGAGCCGGTCCTTGCTACTGGGAGAGACCGTTGCCACCACCACAGTCTCATGGTGGCCACCTGCCGAGCTCAACCACGTCCAGAAAGCAGGTGTGATAAAGAATCTGTAAAATGCCGACTACATTCTGTGTGCAATATATATATATATATATATTTATATATATATATGTGTGTGTGTGCGCAGACGTATGCAAAAGATGTATATATGTACATATGTGTGCACATACGTATGCAAAATCTATATATATATATATGTATACATATGTGCACATACGTATGCATCAGACATATATATATATATATATACAAACATATATACATTATGTATTTGGTATACATTTTGGCACCTACCCCAGTTTAAGCCCTTTGAGCCTATTTGGGGCTCGCTGAAAAGCGTTGAAAACTGCTAGAAACCACAGCCGCAGCTGGCTCCAAACTGAACAAAACTGGGCCACGATAGAGTGTAAGTGTTCGAAGGGCAAGTTTCAAATTGACGGCTCCGCGCTGAGCAAGCAAGTGCTTGTGGACCAAAGAGCAAATGGACCACACCGGACGTCTGGGACGAGCCTCTTAGACCCCCCTTTATCCCAGAAGCCATCCTCAGGAGGTACTTGAACCCTTTTGTCTGGGACAAGCCTGTCCGAAGCAGCGCTCGATCGGGCCGTTTTGGACACGAAGATGCTCTGCCCCAAGTGTTCCGCAGAATGATTCTTCAGCCGCGCTCTCCACTGCCTTCCCTAGCCCGCAACACGTTTCATGTGGAATGGCTGATCCATGTCACCCAAATTGATGTGCGGAAGGCCACCTGGGCCCCTCAAACAACCAAACAAAAATGGGAGTTGCCCAAAATTGTGGGGTGGTATCCAATTTCCACTGATGGGCAGTTTGAAGGTCCCTTGAAGGATACACTTGAGCCACTTGAAGAGTCACATTCCCCAGCTGCTTCAAAGGCCCTCTGGTAACGCTGGTAAAACGTGCGGCTCTTCCAGGCACCCCTGAGCCATACCAACCTACATGCACTAACCTCTGGCAAACAAGTTCAAGGGTTGCAACCTCAGACCTGAGCGTCTCAGACGGGGCAGAGAGACTGGCCCACTGTGCAATGAGGCACCGAGTGTCCGTGCCTGGCTGCCAAAAGAAAAAAACAAGAAAAAACTGCAAGCCTTTTCGAAGACTGGCTCCTCATGGACCGGGAAAACATCACCCCAAAGAAAAGCTCATGTTAAACTGGCTTTTCCAAGAGTTGCTGTTGAAACTCACCCTTCGACGGGAAATGGACCCTGAATGTGAGTGGGCTGTGCGCATGCTGACCATCTCCGTGAAATTAAATGCCTGGGCTACCCTCAAACTAGGACTGCGGACCAAATCTAGTGTTGACACGTGTCCAAGGGTTTTCCTGCTTCCTGGGATTACGCCCTCTGAGACAACACCTGGCTATATATTTGATTGTTTGGGATTATTCTGGGCATTTCCCTAGAGTGCAATCCCAGGATGTATACATCCTAGGATTGCATGCTCGGAAAGTCCTTAAAACGTGCGGATGTGAAAAAGTAAGGCTTGGTTTTCAACGAGGCAAGCAGCCAATCCCGGATGCGACTTCGGCGCTCGCCAGCGTCCGAGCCTTTTACTCAGACCGCTCATCTTATCTCGGGGGAGGGGCTCCTGACTCCCAAGGCGATTCGCCGGGCAGCCGGCGCCATCCCCAAGTTCGAGGTTTCAGCGAAGCCGTCGACGCCACTTGTCAAGAGATGCCGGCCGGAGCTTTGCGAAAAGGGCGACCTGACTATTCAATGCTATGAATGTGCGTGTTTCTTTTGAGGGAAACCCTCTTTTGGTTGCCGATACTTACCCATACCCTGTTTTACAAGACCAGGGCATCTCCTGAAATCAACGGCCATACGTCGTGCAGATCTTGCGCCGCAGCAAGCTCGACAATGCAAGGCGCAAGGGGTGTCACACAGGAACCGACATGAAAGCGGTCATTTGTAGTGGCTCCTCGTTCTAGACAATATTTGTCTGGGAAGAGTATCTCTTGACGTGAAGGAGTAATCATCCGGGCCAATTCCCGGCCTCACAAATCACACAACTGTCAGCCAACAGGATACTATACAGGACATCACGGATTGGTTTGTAGATATTTCTTTGAGGATGGTACTGGCCTCCCATCGCGTAACCTTGGCCTGTAACCTTTGGCATGGGCCAGACTGATCACCCCCCATAGCTACTTCTGCAAAGCTAAGTCTGGCAATGAACGGGCCACCTTTGAGCCAGTGCGTGCTGGAACCCTTGACAGGGTCTGCTCACTTCTCAAACGGCCTGGTTGCATAAATTGCATTTGCAACTCTTGCGAACTTCTGTCAAACAAGCCACAGGCAAACCAAAAGCTTATAGGCCCTGGTACACTCGCCTGACCTTGTGCTGGCTTTCAAGCAGTCGGGGGCGGTCCGTTGGCCGACTCTGGGTTTAAGTTCGTGAGACGAACCGGCCACCAACCTTGGGGGGGGGCATATCATAGGCTTGCTCCGAACCCCCTAGCTCGAGTTTAGCTCGCTTCCAGCCCAAGAATTGGACCACTCGTACCTAGGGAACCAACTACAAGTACGAATCGGCCCGTCCAGTTTGGTCGGCGGGCTCCAAGCAAAACCCTAGGTAAAATCTAAACAGAAAAACCCCCCGGGTGCATGCGCAAGCGCATGCAAAGCGCATTGATTGCTCGCATTGAATTCCTTACACAGTTGCCAAAAAGGGTTCTGGCTCAAGTAATACAATTCCTTCGCGTCCAAGAGAAAGAAGGGCTACAGTGTAATCGGAAAACTATTTCTTTTGTGGTGGCTTGTCATGGGTTTCACCAACCAGACCCCAACAACCATTAGACAAATTGCAGGGGCCCAAAACTGCGGACAACTGCTCGGAGTACTTCCTTTCGTTGCTTTAGACGAAGGCAGCTGGACAAAAAGCTGCTCACTGTTTCCTCCTCCCCCCAGCTTTTGGCTCCTGTGCATCGGGCAACTCAGAATTCTACCACATATCTGTACAGGGTCAGCTGGTACTCGTTTCCAGGTAGCTGCTTAGCCTCATTTCTCAGGCCAGCAGCGAGAGTCCCTACGAGTCCGCAAAAAACCAACCATCCTTGCGGCAGCTGATCACACACGGAGACCGAAAGTGGATTTGCCGCGAAATGATCAACACGTGCTTTGTTCGCTTCCTCAATGAACGCAAAGGTTGGTTGGGCCCTCCTTGATTGATGTGGTCAAAGAACTTGTTGGACATCTGTGGCCAAGAAATGCAAAGGCCACTCTATCTACCACTGTTTGCATTCCAGTATGCCGATTCTCGTGGTTTTAGGAGCTACAATGCCGTAGACTAACATGGAAATTCACAGATACCCCTAGAAAGACTCCTTTCCTGTTGGAAAGGGGCTTTGTACACTTCCATGTTATTTTATGGGAGGGTAATCATGTGTTCTCTTGGCTTTTCTCCTGGCGCGCAAGCAAAGAAGCCATGAGACCGCCATGACCGCCCCCCCCCCGCCCAAAAGAAGCTCAGTTGCCCAAAGGACCCAGACATAGAAGGCTAACCGCGGCTAACCTTTGGGGGCCATGAAAAAAAACGAAACGGACTAAACGGAAACAAACACAAAAGGTCGGATCTGGCCGTTTCGCTTTGGTCCGGTGAGAAGAACCCGCTGCCTCCTCCCCCCCCAAAAAAAAGTTGACACTTGACACCAACAACACAAACAAACCGCCACCCCCCCCCGTCCCCCTTCCCAAAAACAAACATCAAAACCAAGTTGGCGACCCCCCCCTTCCAAAAAAAAAGATCAAAACCAAGTTGGCGACCCCCCCCCCTCTCCAAAAAACAAACACCAAAACAAGTTTTCCCCTCCCCCAAAAAACACACACACACACACACAGCCACCCACCCACCCACCCACCCACCCACCCACCCACCCACCCGCCCGCCCGCCCGCCCGCCCGCCCGCCCGCCCGCCCACCCACCCACCCACCCACCCACCCACCCACCCACACACGCACACGCGCACGCACACACACGCACACGCACACGCACACGCACAGACGCACAGACACACAGACACACAGACACACAGACACACAGACACACAGACACACAGACACACAGACACACAGACACACAGACACACAGACACACAGACACACAGACACACAGACACACAGACACAGACACACAGACACACAGACACACAGACACACAGACACACAGACACACAGACACACAGACACACAGACACACAGACACACAGACAGACAGACACACAGACAGACAGACAGACAGACAGACAGACAGACAGACAGACAGACAGACAGACAGACAGACAGACACAGACAGACAGACAGACAGACAAACACACACACACACACATCAAAACCCCATCAAAACCCCTAAAAACAAACAAACGTCAAAACCAAGTTGGCAAGTCAAGCTTCCAGCCCGGCCGGCGTGTCGAACTCCCCGTCCACCGCCACGATCCTGTCGCCGGCCTTGATGTAGTCCACCCCGTCCGCCACGTTCCGCTTCCTCGGCTCCGAGCTGAGGCGATCCCGGTGCTCTGTCTCGGTGTGCTTGGGCTGTGTCTTGGGGTCCCGGAAAAAAGGTGGGCGACAAGGAAAGAACACCATGAATGAGGAGTGTGCGCAAAGGGGTGTCGAAAAGGGGTGCTATGCGAAAAGGGGCCACTTATCTGCAAGGCAACGCTACAACGACCATATCTAGGTTCTCCAGTAGAGAGGTTAGAAGAAGTTGGTACCCGATTTCTTTTCTGGACGTCTATTTTAGTAGGGAACCCTCCCCAAAAAATGGTAAAAGGGCACTACTGGGGGACCCAGTAAAGGTGTGTGAAAAGTAAAGAAACAGGGGTGTCGAATTTATTGAACCCTTCCCATGACGTGTAGGATGGTCAAACCTCAAGCTGGGCCATGCGGCTGTTTGAGGTGCTCAAAAAGAAAACGGGGCCCAGAATGATGCTGGTTGCCCATCCACCACTGGTCCATGATCGTCCGTGCCCGTCAGTGCACGGGTCT